CCGTCACCGTGCAGGAGGTGCGCTGGAAGGCCGGCCGCGACGGCCGCAAGCGCCGCGTGCTCGTTACGCGGCTGCTGCGCCGCGACGAGGCCGCCGCCCCCGTCCAGCGCTTCCTGGCCCAGCGGCTGCGCAAGCTCAACATCGAGGTCGTCTGCGTGCCCGCCGGCATGACGCGCCACAAGCAGAACAACACGACGCTGAACCGGAGAACGTCGCGCATCAACTGGCAGGTCGAATGGCTCGTCATGGTGGATGGGTCTGCGACGACGACGAGGTGCCTGTCCAAGGTCATGGACAATGTGCCGCTGCACGAAGCGTACCCGACCATGCTCGACGAGCGGCAGGCTGCTGAGCGCCGCCAGGCGAAAAAGGACGGCCGCGCGACCGACGACGAGGTCCCCTACTACGGAACTTGCCCCGAGGCCCGCTGCTGGCCGTCGCCCGCGCCGATGCAGGACCCGCACACCGGCCGGTGGTTCACCTGCGCCGGGCCCAGCATCCCGCAGTGGCCGCGCGAGAAGCAGCTGGAGCACCAGTTCTTCCTCGTCCGCCCGCAACAACACCGGCGCGCCGACCGCCGCACCACCGTCTCCCCGCTGCCCGCGACCGACTGCCTCCGCGAGGTCCTGGCCAACACGCGCGTCCTCGAGTTTCCCACCATTCTCGTGCTGCGCAGCAGCCAGCCGCTGCCCGACACGTACGTGCTCGGACCCAAGGATACCGTGACGGCGGCCGCCCCCGCCGCCGGCCCCGCAAGCGGTAGTAACAAGCGCCCGGTGGGGGATGCGCTCGGCGGCGAGGACAGGGCGGTCAAGAGGCGCAGGGGCGGAGAGGATGCCGAGGAGGGCCAGGTTGACGAGGATGGGAACGAAGACGCGGAAGACGGTGATGATGCGCCGGGGGAAGGACTGGTCCAGGGCGAGGTCATTGACGAGCAGAGCATGGACGACGAAGACGACGATACGAGTAGCGAGGGCACCTCGAGCGAGGAGGACAGCGAGGAGGAATAGCTTTGCGGCGGCAACGGATTTTTGCGAAGCGAAATGGCATCTCAAGGTGTTTGGGCTTGTTTTTTTTTTTTGGTTTGGTCGACGGCGTTTTAGGCCTTGAGCCTTGTATTCTACATGTACTGATATAACAACTATACCACGTGGCTTTCTGCCCCCTCGCAAGACGGCACGGTACAAATGATTCTACCGTTTGCAAAGAGCTGATACAAACTATACTGGTGAAGAATGCTTCGGCGCCCAAGTCATAACTTGCTCTTAAGTCGTATGCCTTGCGTTGCTGCAACTACTAGGAATATTTAGTCCAGAGACAAAGTGTTCGTTTTCAGTCAGTTTTATCGATCGAGCTTGATCTTGAAAGAAAAACAGGAAATATATTCTTTATTGTGCTTTTTTTGCGCTAGCCTTAAATGCAGGATCATCGTGGGTATCATCACACCATTCTCGATGCAGATTTGTTTTCTCTTCGTTTTGTTCAATACACGCTCCCTTCAATACTCCGGTCCGCTTTTTCTGCCGCCTCCAAATCTTCCATGCTGCCCGTCATGTCCTTCTTGTGCTCGTCGTCGTCGGCCCCCGGCGCCGGCGGGGTCTTGACCTCCCTCCGGCGCGCGGCGGCGTCGCCCTCGGAGTCGCTCAGCGGCGCGTCGCCGAGCCTATTGGCAAACGGGCCGACGCCAGGACTCGCGACGCTGCTGCCGACGCTGCTGGCGGAGAGCTGCCTGGCGTGGTGCATGTTGATGGTGGACTGCAGCAGGCGCGCCTCGATGGAGTTGAGGATGCTGCCGCGGCGGTGACGCACGCGGGGGCCGCCCGAGGCAGCGCGGCCACGGCCGTGGGGGGCGGCGGCTTCACTGTCGTCGTCGGCGTCGTGCTTGTCGCTATCCGAGTCGACGACCGAGGCGTGCCCCGAGTAGCTGCCGCCGCCGTCGCGCCCGAGGTGCACAAACTGCGGTGACTTGAGGGCAAGTTGGGACGGGACGTCGTCGTCGTGTGCCTGAGTCGAGGCTGCTGCGGCGGCAGCAGCAGCAGCAGCGGTGGCTGCGCGCGTGACCTGCACGACGACGGGCTGCTTCTTCCTGTCCGGGCTGGCGGTGGTGGCGGTGCTCGAGGACGGGGTGCTGGCGCCGTGGTTGTGGTCGTGGCTGTCCTCGTCGTCGGAGCTGATGGCGGGACGCGGCCGGTGGCGGTGGTGGTGGCTCTGGGCGGTGGCGGCCTTGGTCGACGACACGGCGGCCTGCTCGCTATCCTTTTCGCGCAGCGACTCGAGGTCGTGCCGCTTGAGGTACTTGCTGGTGTGGTTACAGCCGTCCGGGCAGCCGCCCCAGCGGCGGGTGACGACAAACGTCTTGTTGCGCTGCAGCTTACCGGTGTCGTCGCGACCCGTGCTCCCGCTGTCGGTGCCGTTGCTCGTCTTGCCGCCGGCGGCCTTGTCGCGCTCCTTTTCCTTGAGCGCGGCGCGCTCGCGCTTGAGCTCCGACCAGGTGCGCAGCTTGGTCTCGAGATGGTACTTGCCATTGTCCTGCCTGCGCATGGCGAGAAACTCGCAGTGGTCAATGTTGCGGAGGTCCTCAAAGTACTCGACCGTAAAGTGGTACCACTTCATCAGGAAGACGCGCGACATGAGGCCGTGCGTGACGAGCACGCACACGCTGGCAAAGTCGTCCTCGCCAAACTGGCGCCACAGGCTCTCGTTGAAGCCGCTCACGCGGTCGTAGGCGTCGGCCGCGCTCTCGCCGTTGGGGATGCGGTAGAAGAAGTGCCCGTAGTCGGCGCGCTCCTGCCACATGCGCTCCATCTCGGCGCTGCAGGGCTGGAAGTTGCCAAAGTCCTGCTCGCGCAGCCGCGGCTCCTCGTAGACCTTGATGTTGGCGCGGCGGAACGGCGAGGGCCCGTCGGCGTCCGACGTCAGCGTGGTGAGGATGCCCTCGGTGGTGTCGCGCGTGCGCCGGTAGGGCGACGTGAAGAAGTGAATCTTGTCGTCGGGGCGCAGCAGCGCGCGCAGCCGCCGGCCCGCGTCGTAGGCCTGGTTCCAGCCATCGGCGGTCAGCTTGACGCGGTGGTCGGGGACGGACTGGTGAATGTCTCTGTTTTCTGGGCGGAGAAGTTAGGGATAGTGGCATCAGGAGTGTGCGGCGGGCGTGACGTACTATTGCCCTCGGATTGGGCGTGGCGAACGAGGATGATGAGTCTGGGCTTGGCCATGTCGGGCAACTAACGGCCGGTGTGGCGGTGGCAAGGATGGTGGACGGTGGTTGCAAGAGTCGGCCGCCTGTAAAATGCCGCTGAGAGGTGAGATGTTTGTACAAGAGAAGAAGATGAACTGGGGACGAAGATGGAAATTGCGTGGCGCTGCTGACAAAAGGAAATCAAGCGGATGGATGATATGTCATGGCATGAATGGAGTGAATGGCATGAATGGACAGAATGGACAGCAAAGCCCCGAAAAGCTCCAGGTCCAACAAGTGTCGCATGTCAAACGCCATTGTGGGGGGATTCCAGCCAACCAGCCCCCAAGGTCCCCGACAACCGGTGACACTAGTTTAGAGCAGGCGGCTAACAGTCAACTCATCGGGGCACGCAAACGACAAAGCCGGCCATGATGACGGATGTTGGCCTGGAGGAGGACCCGACAGAAAGTTATTGGTCAAAGAACCAAGTGGTTTGCTTAGTGATTCAGCGGATGGATTGAGTCGTATGCACGACTTGACTAAGCTGTATTTTGCACCGCAGCTGATATCAAAATTTTCTTGGTATGAACATTCTGGTTTCGGCTTCTCTTTATTTTTTTTATTTTTTTTATTCTTTTTGACAAGTCATGGCTATTCTCTAGCTTCTTCTTTTCCCTGCTTATATTCATTGCCGTGCATGCCTCTCTATGTCGTGTACGGAGCACTCAGTCCTCACTTACACGCAGAGATGCCTAGACAGACACAGGTCAACACCACCACGTGTCTTCTTTGGGTGAAATAAACTCGCCAGAAATTCTTTTACCATGCATCCTTTATAAATGGCCATTTTACTTCAAAATATCCCATGTGTCGCGCATCTTCCAACCACATTAGACCTGTACGATATTGCAGTCCAACACCGGTGCTTACATAAACACCCCAGGCCTGTTTTTGCGCCACCGGAGCTAACTATTACTGGTAATTTATTCGTCGCGCTCTCAGCAACAGCCTCACCTCGCTCAGAACTGTACTCCCACTGGCAACGCCACATTTCAAGCTTCACAGGCTTCACAGCACATCCAGCCTTCCCTCCGTACCACGTTTCCCATTGCCAACCCGCGGGAGGAGCCGTCAACGTACCACATATTCTCTCCCTCCGTCAGCTTCTAATCATTGCGCAATCCCACCAGCTCTGCGCGCAACCGCAGCCTCTAGCTCGTCGCAAAAAACTCTTCCATCATCCACAACAACCTCAACACCACACACACACACACGGCATCCATGTCCGCCGAAATCCCCGAATCGATCCCCACCTCGGCCGACCCGCGCTCCCAGCGGCCGAGCAAGCGGCGCGCCCTCACGCCGTCGACGGCGCAGGCCGCCTCCCTCGAGGCGCTGTTCGCCAAGCCCGACCGCGACATCCGCCTCCCGCCGTCGGCCACGAACCGTCCGACGCACGCCGGCAGCCGGCCGCCCGAAATCGTCACCAACGTGCAGGGCTCGTCCGCCGGCGCCGGCTCCGGCGAGTTTCACGTGTACAAGGCCGCGCGCAGGCGCGAGTACGAGCGCCTGCGCGACATGGACGCCGAGGTCCGCCGCGAGCACGACCAAAAGACGTTTGTCGAGGACAAGCAGGGCCGCGACCGCCGCGACGAGGAAAAGACGAGGAAGAATCGCGAGAGGAGGGACAAGATGAAGGCGCGCAAGGCGAACAAGGGCAAACAACCTGCTGCTGCTGCTGCTGCTGCTGCTGCTGCTGCCGACATCATCACGCCCGCGGCGCATGGCACTGGCATCAAGCCCGCGCAGGTTCCCACGCATCGGAGGAAAAACAAGACACGAGCGAAACCGAACATGGCACGACGGCAGCGGCAGAACCTGGACTCATCATCCACGACGACGATTAGACTAAACTCAGAACGAAAAAAAGAGATAGATTGTATATACAGTGATACCCATGCACCCCACAGTCACACCACCCACATTCGTGCAGTATGCATGGCGTCCACGTCGCTCAGTCGATGGTATTCGCCAACATGGCCCTGCCTTGTCTCGTACAGTATCCGGGTATCTTACCCACGTAGTCTATCCCCTATGAACCTCGTAATGTTTCCTGCCCTTTCTAATTTTCCATCGTTGCTCTTTGAAACTTTATTTTGGTCTTTTCCGTCAACATTCAACTTACTCCTCACCGCCGCCGCCGCCAACACCGGGGGCACCGCCTTGTAGCTTCTTGGCGCTGCAAATGTCGTCGACTCTCAATAACAGGCAAGCAGCCTGGTACATGTTAGCTCGTGCTCATCACGACATTGTTCAGTAAATCTTACCTCGACGGCAGTCTTAATGCTCTGCAGTTTGATGGCCTGGGGCTCCCACACACCATACTCGTTCATGTCCACTATCGTACCGCTGTCGCCGTTGACACCCCACGAGCTCTTGCCTTCGGCCTGCTTGGCGCGCAGGTCGGTCAGCACACGCACAGGGCTCTTGCCAGCGTTCTGGACCAGAGTTCTGGGGATGACTTCGAGCGCATCGGCGACAGCCTTGTAAGGCCATTGCTGGACGCCCTCGATCGCCTTGGCGCGCTGGTGCAGGCGCACCGACACGGCCATTTCGGTAGCACCACCGCCGGGCGACAGGCGGGGGTGGAACATGACGTTACGGGCAACACCCATGGCATCCTGCAGGTTACGCTCAATCTCGTTGAGCACATCCTTGGAGGGGCCCCGGAGCAGGACTGTGCAGGCCTTGGGGTCCTTGCACTTGGTAAGGAAGGTAAAGTACTCGTCGCCAATCTTTTCAATCTCGAAAAGACCACACTTGGTGCCGACGTCCGAGTCGACAAGGTCCTCGACGCGGTTAACAATGGTGGCGCCGGTGGCACGGGCTATTCTGTTGTTGTCGGTCTTGCGGACTCTGCGGAGAGCTGTGATGTTGGCCTTCATAAAGTAGTGCTGGGCGAGGTCTGTGGCGATGTGTTAGCAAGCAAGGGTAAACTCGCAGACCAAATAAACAAATACATACCAGAAACACCCTTCTCAGTGATAACCAGGTCAGGCTTGACGGCAATGATAGCCTCGCAAATGGCCTTGATCTGCTCCTCCTCAATTTGCAGGATGCGGTTCCAGTCGTCTTCCTTGGTGATTTCAATGTTGGTCTGGGACTCGCCCTTCTTGTACTCGAGAGGGCAGTCGAGGAGGACGATGCGGGGGTTCTCGATGCGCCGGCGCATCTTGGGGTGCGTAATGTCCTTGTTGAGCATCAGACCGTCGAGCACCTCGCTGTCCTCAATCTCGCCGCCGGGCACCTTTTCAATGCGGGCGTAGCGCTTGACGTCGACCTCGGTGTTTCCGTTGCCGGCCTCCCAGGTGACGGTGCGGACAGCCTTAAGGGCCAGGCTACACATCTGGTCCATCCAGCGGCTGACAAACTTGGTGCCAATGGACGAGGAGATGATCTTGGCCATGGCCGCGTCGTCGTGGACGTCGATCGGGGTGGAGACCTCCTCGATGATTTCAAGAGCATCTGAGAGGGCACGCTTGAAGGCGGCGATGATGACTACGGGGTGGATGTTGCGCTCAAGCTGGGGCAGGGCCTGGGCCAGGATCTCACCAGCTGGTGTTTGTTAGCATGCGAGTGTGAGGGCAACACACAGCATCAGGTGCGTACCGAGAATGATGACGGTCGTGGTGCCGTCGCCAACCTCCTCGTCTTGTGTGCGGCTGAGCTCAATCATGCTCTTGGCGGCCGGGTGGGAAACCTCAATCTCACGAAGGATGGCGTGACCGTCGTTGGTGAGGACGATACCGCCCATGGGGTCGAGCAGCATCTTGAGCATGGCCTTGGGGCCGAGACATGATCGAATAATGTCGGCAACTCTGTACGGTTCATGTTAGCGACGCGGGCTAGATTGTGCCAGGGATCAGGCAGCGTGGCGGTGTCGTGTTGCGGTTCGGTTGGGGACGTACGTCTTGGCGGCAGCAATGTTGGAGAGCTGCGCTCTTCTTCCGGTCTGCCTATCACCACCGGCATTGGTGTCTGTCAAGTATACAAGGTCAGCATCGATTCCATGTGAATTGTTTGGACATGCCCGGCGCCCCGCGATAGCAAAATTATCGGGAGGCCAGGCCGCAAAAGCTGAAGTCGGCGGGAGGCGGGGGTGGTTGATCTGGCAAAAAGGATAATTTTTGGGTGTTGTGGGCACGTACTCATAACCACAACAGGAGCTTGCATGTTGGGCGACTGCGTTGCTTCTTTCTTGTATAGGAGATTTCGATTCGGAGGGCGAAGCAGAGGAATTCGTTAGGAAACCAACACGCGACAAACAACAAGATGATGGGAGGAAGATAGGGAGACGGGTTCGTGCGTGGAGGGGTGGTTTTGCAGGAGAAGGCGGATTAAAGGTTGGGGTGGGCCGCATCACGAAACTTTCCCCCGGGCGGTGCGTTGCTGACAGGCAGAGAGGAGGTACCTGAGATCAGCTTTTTGGGGTGGTTTTGCCGGGTCAGCTTGACGGAGGTACTTGTCAGTTCCGCCAGATCCAGCAGCTTCCATCTGGCCAGGGCTGTTGGGGCACCGCCGAGCTCTGCGCCGTATGCCATTGGCCATTGTGCTTATTCTGGCCCGCCTAAAGTTTTGGGGACCCCTCAATCTCGCTGGAGCGTAAAGTACCGTTGCACGTAAGCTTGCCGCACAGGTACATATCCTCCCGACAGCAACAACAACACCGCTCTCCATGATAAGCAATTCGCCAGCTTCACCGATTCTCCGTCGCCGGTAGTTGCAACGCCGCTCCGATAACCTTTCTTATCATAACTATCCTCAAGCTTCAATGCATCATCACTTTTCCTCCTCACGCTAGACGCGTCACATGCATCCATGCTGCTACATACTATGCCAGACACGACCATGTGGCGGATTACCTCAGCCCCTAGTCCACCGCAAGTAAACCGTCTCGCCGCGTGATGCCTAAAGAGGCACACTTCTCGGCGCATATCTGACACCCGCCATCAGCCCCTCATCACTACATATGTACCTTTTCAGTTTCTCCGCCCGCCGAATACAGTGAATACGGACCAGCGCCATGTGCCGCTATCGCTTAATAGGCGCGGCAGCATGGCGTACTCAGTCAACCTGCCGTCGGACCCTGGCGTCCTTATCCCAGGCTATTAGATGCTGTTTATTATAAACAGCAATGGCGTCCCAAGCGTTGAAAATTTTCACATATAAATTTGATATTTTGCAAGATGTTGTTCCGGATATTGTGGACCGGTAATACGCCACTAGATGTATATGTAGCAACACGCCATGCTGGTCACCAAGAGTGCTATCCGTATATCTCCTCCCTTTGCTTCTTCTCCTGTCGAATTCGCCGTTTTTCGGCAATCTCGGCGACTGCCTTCTCCCGTAGGTATTCGTCCAGCTCCGCCTTTGTGACCGCCGGGACTAAATTTGGGTTATACAGTGTTTTTGCGAGCCAAGTTCCCCTTCCCTCTACATCCTCCATCCCGTCAACCTCTCTTAAGAACAGCTCCAGCTCCTCCAGGCTCGCGAAGCAGATCCAGCCCCCAAATGTCTTTGTTTTATTGCCACCTGCCGCCACAGGTTTGTATTTGAGAAAATATCCGCACAACACCGCCGGGTCTTGCCATCTCGTAATGTAGGTTCCTGGCAAGTCGACCTTTGCTCGGAATGGATATTTCTCTATGGGCCAAGGGCATTCCTTGGAAAACAAGTCACGTATCTGCATATTGACCTTTGCGCGCTGCGCCCTTGCCCTTCCACGGCAGCGTTTCGCGTGATATTCCGAGTGAGCCCGAGCCAAATCTTCACCTGGCGGTGAGTAGTGCAAGAGCGTGCCAAGAACTGACATGCAACGCATAGCATCATTCCCTGCATCGTGGCCATCGCAGCTCGCCGGCTTGGTCGGGAAAATGGGTTCGTATCCGACGCCGATCAGAGTATTTCGCAAGCTTGGTGCCTGGCTGGTATCTGGCATGAGTTCTTTGGCAAGCTCCTGGACATCAACCCATGAAGTGAAGCAGTCAAGGATCCGCGTGTAGTGACGGGACAGAATACGAAATTCGTGAAATAGGTCAAACCCGACGAGAGTAAGCTTTAGAGGTTTGCCGAGAGATGAGCACATTTGTTGCTGAAAAGTATGGACAAGGTTGAGGACGGTGTCCTCTACTTCATCTGGGCCAACAAACGTAACATTTTCGTCGCCACCATTCCAAAAAATTTCCCCCAACCCCAGCCGCTCTCGACCATTGATGCGGATGGAATGTGAGGAGATATGAAATCGTTGCTGAGCTTCCTCAAGAGTCTGAGGCGGCTCATCGATCTTTCCTGCGTGATCTGCCCGGGGGGCAAGTAAGGCTATGCCAATCTGAGACGCTGCTTCATCAGTGGAATTTGTCCCGGCTTGACCCCGCCATGGTTCGGTATCAATAGCGACGAATATTGTCGTCGGAGAAATCTCTTTGGTGGTCTTGAGATCGGGAAGGTTGTTGTGCCACAGGTCCTTCCATAGGCTCCAGCGAAATCCCTGAGGTCGTGAGCGATACCGCATCTTTTCTGTGGCTGTTGGATAGTTCCGCATAACTTTGCTGTGGCTTTTGGAGAGTTGTGAGGGTGGTTGGAGAGATGGACGGTCGTCGAGGGCGAATGTGAAGGGAGAGAAAGAATGTGCATGGAGAGGAAACCATTCTGTACCCAAAGTGAAAAGTGTTGTGATTTATTAGCATGTATAATTCACCAGATCACCACCGCGTGAGAATCTCGGCATATGTGTTCCTGCAAACCTTTTTTCGCCACTAGCGTCAATAGCAGGTAAGTAAGAACCTTAGCAAAAGTAGCATGAGAAGTTCATTCTTATTGTTCATCATTACCACTAATATCACCAACTTAAGAATTGCCAGATATGAGGCGCGGGGCGAGTAGCGGCGTGCTGGACGCGCCCCTGTACGGCTACGAAGGGAAGAGCCGGGAATCGAAACCAGGCTGAGTGCGCTAACTAATAAATAAGAGTTCTCGGTGCCCAGGCGGAACATGTTGGCATGGCTACTCCGTATAGGGGCCATTCTTTGAGGGTTGGAAAAGCTTGCACATGTTTGAAAGGCGATTCGAGTGGCTGATCAACGCGCTAAGAATGCGGCACAGTATAACCTTTTATCCACATTTTTCTGCCTTGTGCTCAGCCAGCCAGCGCGATGTATCAATGTGTACGAATTATATGTATTTGTTAGGTGGTGTATCCCGTGGCCAGGTTGTCAGGCAAGGCCACAGGCCTAACAATGTTGCTGAAGGCCCTAACACGCCCTGAACTCCATCACCTCTTCGCGGCCCGGACCGGCCACGGAGATTTTGCTTTATATCACGAACGCTTCCACCACGCCGACGCCATGCTCACGTGCAGCTGTGGCCGACGAAAATCTTGAAAAGTTTAAAAAGTTAGTTATATAGTTTAGTCTTACAAGGTCATTTACCCTTTTCAGGGATGGTCTGAGGTAAAATAGAAATACAATACAATACAATACAATACAATACAATACAATACAATACAATACAATACAATACAATACAATACAATACAATACACACACACACACACACACACGCACACCACAAGTTGGATACCCCTCTTTTTGTTTTTGTCTTTTTTTCATATATTAATATAGGAGAAAGACTGGCTGGGCACCGCAAACCGCAAGTTGTCAACAAGACGCTGAATAATTACGGGGCCGAGTTGTTTCCCGGATACGCCGTAAGGAGTAATGATCGACGTATTTCTCATCACCGCACCGCGATGGAAAATTTGTCGATCTTTTCCCAACTAGTTACCCTTGCTGTATCGGTAGGTAGTCAGCCGCTCTCCCAAAAAGGAATGCCCGAGGAACAAACACGACTGAGCCGAGAAGTTCGAGCCCACCAACGAGGCCCGCATGCCTCTCTATTCGGTAACATCATGCGAAACAACCACCGGCTGGAGGCACTTTTCCGGCGTGTACGGGTAGCCCGGCGTGGAAAGCCGGCCCGTGCTGCTGTAGTGGTGTAAGTCGACGGCGACGCGGAAGAATGCTTTATAAGTCGTCGCCTTGGCTGCAGCCCTAGCTGAGATACGGCGAGCATTGCGTCTCCGGCCGACGTCGAGCGAAGCGAGGAAAAGAAAAAAAGCAAGCACAGCGCCATTTACTAAAGAAAGTTAAATATCTTTAGGTGATACTATGCTAGCTTTTTTCTTTTCCTTGCTTTACTTAATATCCCCTATCACATTTCTTAATATTAGCTATACTAGAGGCTTTTTATAATATTTAATATCTAGCTCTTTACCTTTTTTAAATTCTAGTAGTAGCGTATTATCTATACTATCTAGACTATCGCGTAAGTAGGCACGCTAGAATACACGATATAGGAATATAACGGTTTTCTATACACTACTCTAGGAAGCCGTATGCAAGGTAGAGTTGCCAGCGTGGTTCTGGTACACTAGGAGTGTTTAAAGCGCACGCTTACGCAGCACCGCGCTATAATCTTAGCCATATGATTTCTAGTCCATCTAATAAACAACTTACTATATACTAAGCGGTTTACCTATAAATATAGTAATAATATATAAGAGAGAATCTTAGACTTATTCTAGAGTTAAGCTAATAAATATCTTATTATTCTAGTATAAGAGGTTATAATCTAGGCTTATAGGAAGTAGTAAGGCTTATAGAGGCTAAGATAAGGTTAATATAGTGTAGTTTAGTATAGACTATAGCTAATACTAGTAAGTAGTAGTAGGATTAAAGTCTAGTAGTAAATAAAAGGCTAAAGGTCTAAATATTATATAAATATAATAAATATAGTTTTCTAAGGGTATATAGTTTAGCTAATAGCGCCTTATATTATTTATTTAATATATTAGCTAAAGTTAATCTACTAAGTTACTACCTTAAAAGATTTCTCTCTTATCTATTTCTAGTAATTAATAGCGCTTTATTAAACTACTACTATATTATTTCTTATTTCTTAAGTCTCTTTACTTTATTAAGGCTTACTAGCGTACTACTAGCTACTACCTACTCTATATTATTAGGCTTATTAGGGTTAATTATTCCTTATAATTGTCTAAATCGGCTTTTAGCACTGACTAATCTGATGACTACGTGCCTCTTTCCGGTGTTTTAACGACATTATTACGCTTATGAGCGCTCTTTAGCAAGAAAATCACTTCCATTGTCGCCTAATTGCGCTCTGCAAGCCATTGGTCTTTACCATGCACTCATTCGTCATTACATTCCCGTTGGCCATGAATAGTCATAGCCAGTTCTCTTCTCCAGTCATCCTCTCGATATCCTGAATTCTTCAACCGGTTCCTCACTGTATCTTCGCTCTCCCTAGTGCCATCTTCATCGTAACTCGCGCGACAAAGCCGATGGCATTTGGCTCGCCCTGCCTCGGTGGCCGCGCATCCTCTGCGAGGCGACGCCCGCCTCGGGGAGCTTCTCAAACGGCAACTGGTCGCACGTCGAAAGTTGCAGCGCGCGCTGCATCCGATGGCTATGTTTTCTCCTGTATATAAAATGTGAGCAATCTCGGGGGCGCGGCGTCCACACATCGTTCACGTTGTGGCATCAGAGGTTTGCACCCACACGCTCCGCATCTTGCTCTCGAACCGCCTAGCTTCTTGTTCCTCGGCGCTTATGCCGGTAGCACCCTCGGTGTGCAGCTGGACTAGCAGCTTATGTGTAGATTCTCTCGCGCGCTTCGATTTGGTCGCGGCCACGGCGGGCAGTGGGGGCGGAAACACGCGGTTGAACAACGCCGGGTTCGCCTGGAGACGACTGAGATCCGCGGACACGCCCCGGAGCAGCTGCTCGCGTACAGACGGTCTGCTCGGCGGCTTCAGGGCCGCCGGGGCGGGACCGACGCGGCGCGCCGCGAGGAGGCTCTGGGGGAGCTGCAGCTTGGCCGGCCGCCTGGCCTCACGGAGGAGAGGGTTCGGAAAAACAAAGGGCTGCTTCATAGGTGGCACTTCTGAGGAGCGGTGCTGCTTGCTGGTTGTCGGCTCGACTTTTGCTGAGCGCTTGAGGAGAGGTTCGTTGAGATGGCTGGCGAGATATCCCATCGGTCGATCGGCCATGGCACCAGGTCTGACGATGGCGAGTCAATGAGGGCGGAGATGAATTAACTGCCGTGTATGTGGAAGAAGAGATTTGTCGCAGTTTTGGTTCACTTGTGTGTAATCCTCAAACGTCAAATTTGCAGAGAGTGCCAGCTGCCAGCTGCCGGAGCAAACAGAATGCACCAACAGGCTACCAAGCCGCCCTCGCCGCCCATGACAAGATGCCATTTCTCCGCCAGTGGTGTAGGGAGTTGATGGAAGTTTGGTCAAAGTGGTCACAGTGCAGTCGGCTCGGAATTAGGCCAGGGCTTTGTTGTTGTTCAAGACAATAGGACGCAAAGCGGCAGAGTGCCGTGACGATGTGGCATTGGATGGCTTTGAGATGACTGCTTACAAACAGGCAAAGCAGAGGTACAGATTTTGACTGTGATGAGCTAGGACAGGGACAGGTGTGCACTCCAAGCTCTACGTTCTCTTGAGGGTTGAAATCTCGAGACTGCATCTCATCAGCGCTCTTGTCACCCTCTCGTTACCGCATACAGCTCCAAGCAACGCTTCCACAAAGCAAAAAGCTCTCAAGCTGCTCGCTCGTATGCTCTCCTAATCATCTCCGCCCGCCCCCAAGAGCGTAAAAAAAACGGAATACAGTTTCCGTTCTGCTCAGAACAAACCCCAAGGCGAGTCAGTCGTGTGCAGTGATTACCCTACACCCCAACCCGCTGCCTCCATCACAGCCATCTCGACCACCAGGACGCCACACAAACTCGCTGCATGCCGCCGTTCTAGAAGCACCAAGTCCATTCTCCCGCCTTGAATCGTCTCCTTCGCGGGGCCGTGCCGTCATCGTCCGTGTCCGTGTTTCCATGCCCGCCGCCGCGCGCCCCCCCACCTCGCATAACTGTGCCCAAAGGACCCCCACGCTTTCAGGCCATTCAATGACATCCAGCTGGGCCGAGACCATTTCCGCCGCCGTACGGGGGTTGTTGTTCATTTCTAACCTTGTATTGAATTGGCATCCGTTTCGATTTTTTTTTCCTTTGCAGGGCCAAGAGGTTGTGTCTGTGCCCGTCTGCCGACAAAGCGACAATGGGAAGTGCATGATACGCCGAGCATGTCTCATCTCGTCTACGATCCGTGAGCCTGAACCCTCCTCGCCCGGCCGAGGGGCTGGTTTCTGCACTGCACAAGTCAGGCCAGAAAACAACACGGGCGCGCTTTCCATGGCATCTTTCTCGGTTGAATGCCGAGGGAATCTGCTTAGATTGGGCGCCGACGTCTGGCCTGCAGGCATCGTGACGTGGACACGTTCGGGGCGGGGGGGCATGCCAATAAGACATGCGCACGAATTTCGTCCAATGAGTTGGCACAAAACTAAACCATAGGTTGAAAAAAAAACATAGTCATGTCAGGTAGGATCCGAGCCACCACCCCGCGGATCATTGGGGGTGGTTTTTTCTTTTTGGTGGTGAGGTTCTTGGCACCTGAGACATGAGCGGGTTTGGAGAAGGGTGCTCGCCAAGATGCAAAAAAAGCAAGCATGCGTTGCAACATGCTCGTTTTCTTTTGCATTGAGGGGAGAAAGAAAAGAAGAAAGAATCAATTGAGTGGGGAGAGATGCATCTTTCTATTGGTGTTCTCTTTTTTTTCTATCCGGGCAGGTATAAGCGCCTGATGAAGCAGTGCCAGTTGAACGCAATGCACCGGAGGCGAAGTTGCGGCCTCGAAGCCAATTGAGCCAGGATCCCAAGTTGCATTCCATATTTCTGCATCCTGAGGCAGAATAGATGCTCTGCCCCCACAGAATCCTCACGATGCACGTTTTATGAAGGCTGGCACAAAAGTGTTGGGGGCGTCGAGATAGGCCATTCTTTGCCGATGCCACACCCGCGGCGCCGGAGAATAAAACGCTGCCAATTCCAATGTAAATCAAATTAATAAATCAATAGGAAAAAAAACGGACAAACGCCCCCAATAACCTTGCAAAAGGCGGTAAATTAGCCCAGACCCCCGGGGGGCCATTCCTGTCCATCTTGGTTCTCGTTTTCCGCACAATGGGGCCTGGCCTGTTTGCACGACTCCATCCATGAGGCCAGTTTGCCACGACACCGCCTGAGCCCAAATGAGCGGTGTTTGTCAGATGGTGATTATATTCTTTTCTCAGGGTTAAATTCATGGACGAAGAACCACCAAGAGCCCCGTTTCCCGCGTCATGGAGCAAGCAGAAGCACATGGAAAAGCTCGGTGAAGAGATGGGAAGCCCGGCTGGTTCCGCGATTGGGCCGGGGAATGTGGTCATGGCCATCGCGGAATCTCCATTCACAATGGAGCCCGGATGCTGACTATTCTGTTTGCTGAATTGGAGAAATTTTGTCCATGGACAAATGTTGAAACATGCGCCTTGTCTTGAACAGTGGAAAGCTGCGGTTGCAGTGGTGGACCGTGGGGGGGGGGTCTGTCTGTCGAGGCTTTTGCCTCAGATTTATTCTAGTCGCACGACCATGATCAATGCGTCGCTGCAAAAGACAGGGATTGGGTGCTGTTGAGCAGCGTGAATCATATTCACACGAATCTTACTCATCTCGGTGCCGAGATGCCTCTCTTTACCGACGTCGGTGTGCCGGTGAACAGCGACGAAATAGTGGATTCGCCTTGCAAACATCTATTTGAAAAAAAAAGTAATTTGTACATTATTTCTTTTAGACAACTGAGACGCGGTTTTTGCATCCAGCGGGCCAGATTCCGCACCTAGACTATTCATTTTCCTTCCTCCATCACTAAAAAGCGGGCGTTCTGAGACGTCCAACCTAGGTACATACCAGTTACGGAGCTGCTTGTGAGACGGGGGATCAGCGGGCCGTTCGGGTTCGGCCGAGGCGACTTTTGAGGGCCGCCCAGGCACCAGCAAAAAGTATCGTCTGTTTTCAGGCCCTTTCTCATCCAAATGTTTCAATAGTTAATAACGACTTTTTTTTTTTTTTTTTTTTTACTTCCAACCAAAAATATCAATTATCACAAAAAACAAATCAATAAAGCACAGGCCAGAGCTACGGATACGTGCCTGTCACCCTGTATCGGACGAGGACTGGGATCCCCTACCAGCAAAAACGGCTGTGCAGAAAATTCATGGTCGACGCCCCTGGAACAAGACTGGACGAAGGCAAAAATGTCCTCCTTCTCCCTGAACATGTCACCAAGGATAGAAAAAAAAAAGTGGTTGATTGCTATTATCCACCATGTGTTGAACAAAATACGACTTGGCTTAGAGCCGTGGCATCCCGGTTAAACTCCCTGGTTCATCCCTTTGTGAATTTTTTTCTTCTTGTCTGGGCCCCCGGCTCTAGCGCTTGCTAGATCGATCTCATTCGGGTGAAAATTCCTTCATCTTGTTGCCGCTTGCAGGGGTGATCACTTGTACTATTTTATTTATTTCTTCGGCATCCCTGCCATTGGTACTGTTTTACGGAGTAGTTATTGGCTCTTTTTGGCGCAAAATTTTCTCTCTTCACCCCTGGCTAGGCAAGGCCTAGACGTGAAGAATGGTCGACTTGCTTTGCACTGGGTAAGAAACGGTCGAGGCAAGATGAAAGGGGGCGGATTTTATGCCCCGGCTATGCTGCTGACGTTGTATGTACCGTACCCCCCCCAAACTTGGCAATAGCGGTTATATGCCGTGGGATAAGAATACCAACGTGTGCTGTTTGTGGTTTCAGCAACGACGCCACATGGCCCATGGCCAGGGGGAAATAATACCACTATTACTGATCTCGCCCCGTCCGATTCGCTCACGGCGTACACGTTTTGTACGGTATGTTGTTAATGCCGCAATGGAGAGCACGCCGTTTCACACCCAACTTGTTTTTTTCTTCATTTAAACACGTAACTCGTACACATGCGCTGGGTATGTTAGTGTCTTCCCGAGTCCAATTGGCTGCTGCCTGGCAAAGAGAGTCTAGATCGGAGTGGAGGGGGGGGGACGCAGGCAGCAAGGCAGATCTCACCACGGTTGTTTCGCTTGTTTCGGGGCATGCATTATTTATGTCAGCAATTTGCTTCTGCCTAGAGGACGGCAGTTGGTTGCCGCTCATGTTGTCGTGAGCGAATTGGCCGTTGCCGGTTGGTTGCTGGGATTCGCAGACGTTGGCGTTGACGATGCAAGGCTGATCAGCCCCGTAGCATTGTATGCGCAAATGATTCATTCCCTCGACAATTCAATCATCTTCTTTTAAAAAAAAATATACTTGATTATTTCTTTATATCTATTATTTTCAAGGTATATTTGCAAGAAAATAAAGATACAAAGAATGAAGAATTAGCGCAACAACTCGGACTCGCGCACGGCGACATGACGGGACCGGGCCCTGACGTCTGCAAGGGAGAAGAGGATGAGATGAAGCCCATGCAGGGTCCCACGAACAATGCGAAGTTCTCTGCACAAGCCATCGATTTTTTTGTTGTCTACTAGAGATTAAAATAACCGTTCTTGCAATAGAAAATGGTCAGGCGTCGTGTCCTCTGTGCGAACCCGAGCCGGCACTGCAACAAGTCTGCAGCCTGCCGTGTCCAATCAAGTTGCTGCTCTGCGCCGTCGTTGGGCTGCGATGCGTGCCGTCCCAACATTCCACTTGCTTCTTCTAGTCCGTATCAGACTTTTCTCCAATGACTAACGAGTCGGGATTTTACTTTACGGCTGACTACGCGCGGAACAACCTGTCATGTTCAACCACAGACTTGGGCCGTGATGCCCTCGGCTGCCCACCGAGGCCCGGGACCCGGTTGCTCCAAGAAGCTGGCCGCCGAGGGGGCAGCAAAGCAGCCGAGCCCGTGCCTTGGCTGATGGCAAGCACCGTAACAATGGGCAAACTGCAGAGCACGCCCTCTTGTTTTGGCAGACGAACTCGGCCCAACGCTGGCAAATGCATCCGACGATGGCGTCCTCGCTTAGACCGGGCGGGCGGCGCTAGATTTTTTAGCATCCAGTAGGCAAATCTTTTTTTTTTTCCAAATTTTCTTTTTTCTTGTCTCGCCTCCGTCTCTTATCTAAAGAGGAATCTAACTAGCGTCTCATCCCAATTCTCATGCCCTCGGTTGTCGCGACCCGTCTGCTCGTCTTATCCTTGGGCTTGCAACGCTAATAGTTACCTGGTGAAAATTTTCGCAGTTTTAGGTTTTTTAGGCACAACGGGCCAAATCTACCTCCCGCGAGAAAAACCATATACTTGTTGAGATTTGAGTTTTTAACTGGGGGGGGGGTTTTATTGTTTATTATTTTATTCTTCTTGGCCGAGTTTTAGTGCGAAACTGGATACTACCAAGGCCCCCGGATTACACCGGACGGCGTGGCTTGGTGCCTAGACGAAGCCTTTGCTAACGACTCCGTACCTACGCTTGGAGGCTTTTGAACAGACGACGCATTGGCCGTGCTAGGTCCTATTTGCATCAAGGGATGAAGGTTTTTTTCTTCTTTCATGGCAGCAGCTAAAACAACTAGCTTCTTCTTCTTTTTCACTCTAATCTCCCCTATTTGCCACTGGCGCACGCGAGCAAAAGCAGAGCCGAATGTTTCGGCCGACGCTCAACGGCGCACAGATGCGGATATCCATGGCTCACAACTCACACCGTTGGCACACCTTGTTGCTTGGTCCATGCTTTCTTCCCATTCATCCCTCGCAATTAATCTCAACCCTTTGATGAATTTAAAAAAAAAAGGATTCGCCCTTGCTGCCAACGCATTGCGCGTTTCAAGAATAGAAGTTCATGCTGGTTACAACCCACGTTCTCATTCGCCGACCAAGTTTGGCCCTCTTGTTCCCAACTATCGCCCATATTGCCAAGATCTGACGAATAACAATACCAGAAAAAAGAGGCCCCCCCCTCTCCTTCCCTCCACAAATGTACACGTGTATCCGTTGATATCATAGTTACAGCGCACATCTGTTTGTATGCTTTTTGTGTGAGATGCTACGAGGACGGGGGGTCGGAATGACGCGATGCTGCATTACTGGTGTATGTAGGTCCCTTGGTAGGAGAAAAATGCGACGTCGGACCCGTTGCTTCTCGCTGCCCAAAACGAGAGGCCAAGCTAGCCAGTCCGATTTCTTCCCCGCGCGTGCACCATACATGACGGTCCGAACAAAATGTTGGAAAAAAAAAAAGTGATCTGACGGACCCGATCCCGGACTGAACCCATGCACGCTGACCGTGATCCTTTTTTGGTGCCACACACACAGACAGGCCTCCGTGCATCGACAGCATCCTTCCGGAACAGGCAATTCACATCGGCCGTTACCACATTTGTGCAACCACGGAGACTTCATGTAAGAAAAACTTTTTTTTTAATTCAACCCTTGAGTTAGTGTAATCTTGTTTTAGGCTGCCATTGACATTCTTGTCCGTATCCCCTTGATGGAAAACTTTTCCAATGTGAACCCTTGCCTCCCGCAATCTTGTTGGCCTATCGAGATCCAGTATGGGCCCGCCTCGTCGCAGTCATCATTCCACTCCCTTCCCTGACAGGTCCGGCAGTACTCCGTGCACAGTGAAAAGTAGCTTCCATGCACAGAGTGTCTCATGCCCGAGGAAAGAAAAGTGTAAAAGAGTAGTCATCAAGGCAAGCATAATCGCTGCTTGCCAGTGTTTTCCATTCATTCTCTGCTAGTTTCATAAAGATGCCTTCCCACACCGGGGAGTAGCCTGCCCAATTTCGTAATAGTAAAAAACCCTCCTTGTGCTGTTGAACATGGTTTCCCAACTTCTTATGTATGCTTAATCAACCCTTGGAAGCAATGATGCCAAAAAAAAGACCCCCCATAACTCCGGAAACCATTGAGGGACTGTTGAGATTCTCTCAGTAGCAGCCTCTGCGGCAATGGCCCCAACTAAAGGAAACAAATAGAAATGCCAAATAGGATATTATAATGAACAAGATGATTTTGCTTTTTTCTTGGTATGCAGGACGCCGTTGTAATGCCCGTCTTGGTACAACAAATTGGTCGCTAGAAAAACAGTGCGGAAAGAGTAAAAGGTTGGATTGTCGTCGTCGTTATGTGGTTGATGAGTGAGTAGGGTGTATTTCGTGTGGTTGTGTGTGTGTGTTGTTGTAGAATGTGTGTCGTGTGATGAAAGGACAACAGTCCAGTGGTGTACAGTAGTGGAACAAGGCCAGATTACTGAGATCGTCGTCGTTGCAGACGGACCTGTTCAAATGACACGGCGTACGCCTGCAGCTCCTTCTTGACCCCGTCTGAGAGGCGGGAAGCATCCGAGGCGTTGCTCTGCATGGAGCAGAGGCTGCTGTGAGAGCTCGAGGGCGTCAGCTGGCGGAGAGGCAGCGACGACTGGGTAGGCAGGCGATCGGAGCGCAACGACGAGTAGTATCCGAGCAGCGGCTTCGACGTGGGCGTGGTGCCGTACGGCTGGGCGTTGCTAAAGTCGTAGGCGGGGGAGAGGTAGAATTTGGAGGCGGCGCGGGGGGATGAGCGAGTGCTGGTGGTGGGAGCGGCATACGGCGTCGACCACGGACCAGACGTGGGAGCGAAGCCGGGGGAGCTGGCCTGGGACGATGGTGACGAGGGCGACTTTTCAAAGTCGGCGAGGCGGCACGATTCGGAGCAGTAGGCGGCAGCGTCGTGAACCTGCTTGTCGCAGGCGAGGCAGAACTGGTGGGTCCAGAGATCGAGGCTCATGATGACGAATGTGGTTGTGGTGGTGATTGTGGTTGTGTGTAGCGTGTGTGGTGAGAAAGCCGTTGTCAAGCAGGCTTATGTCTGTCCGTGAAGGAAAAACGGTTGTGGTGGCAGTTGGGATGCTGTCGTGGGAGGTGGAGTGGTGGCAGCAAAGGCGTAGTATAGCAAGACTGGTAGCAAGATGGTCAATCTTGTGTGATGATTGTGTGTGATTGAATGAAGGCAAGGAAAAAGGAAAGAGAAGAAGATTGGAGTTTGTAGAAAAAGGGTCGATGGAGGATAGAGTAGAAGAATCAGAGAGGTGTCGAGGAGGAGGGCAGTGGCATGTTCAAGTAGTGAGAGTGAGGCCTGGCGGCGTGCGGCATGGAGTGGTGTACGAAGTAGAGGTCGATGGCGGCATGGGAAGTGGGCTGCGCCAGACGGGTGGGCGGGTCCATTTTGGTGACAAGTAGGAGTGGGTAGTGGTCAGGACAGACGGGGGGCACGAAAAGGTTTTGGCGTCTCTGGACTTGCGTACCTGCCTCCCGTCATGCGCCTGGGTAGAAAATAATAACGACGCCGGCGTTAGTACGCAACGGGCAGTGGTGCCCATGTTCGAGTGGGTTAGGCCAAAGAGGTAGCGCTGGGAGCTGTGACAGGGATGATGCTACAGTGGGGACCTCTTTTTTTTTTTCCCTTTTCTTTTAAGAAAATAAATAAATGAGAGCTAAACTGAACGAGGGCCCACACCGGCAGAACGGCCAACCAGGTAGGCGCTTCTTCCCTAGGGGTGGCCGCTAGATCGCCGGGGGAGGGGGTGAAGCTCCGGCTTTGGCCTTGCACCGTTAGTTCCCTTTATGCCTTGGAAGTTATGCTGTGCACAAATTTTTCCCTCTTATGGAACTCACGTTGAGTCCTGCTCGCGGAGTGGCCGCCCGTGTGGTGGAAAACGCCCACTGTTGTGGCTGTCAACCACTGACCGGCCGAGACCAAGCCAAGGTGGAAGAATGCGTATCATGACGCCTAAATCGGAATCAAGGAGAACCAGAAAAGTTTTTTTTCTTGTCAACAGTCAACAGTCACGCAAGCCTCTTACACGATGTGTCCAAAACCTGACGACATTGCCTCCAGCTGTGGTGCGTTTTGGTGGGCGAAACACGCAACACGGTTGCTTTTCCCCTAACTAGCGCTAAAAAAAAAAAAAAAAAAAACTCCCTCAGCGTCCTGTGACTTTTGTGTTTTTTTAAAACTCCAGCACGTCTTGTTACAGCACAATATCCGCCATGGCGACCCAGTCTGAGGTGACAGCTTTGATCTGACGCCGACGATGGCGAATCGGCCTGGGTGGTGCAATTTGCGTCTACACCTCGTAATATGACTGTTCCGACTTTTTTCGCCCGCAACCAATTCAATTTTTTGGATCTGCTTCCCGTCCCATGGCGCCACCACGGTCACAGTCACAGTCATCAACCAGTCAAACGCCCCGGCATCGGCCGGCGGGCTGCGACGTTGTGTACTTTGCCCCCCCAAACGCCGTCACATTCCAATACACGCCCGTACTGGTAGTACCATGGTGCTCAATGCTCAATGACTGGGGGAAGAAATTTTCACACATTTGCAACGAAACGAAGAAATTTTTTGTTTGTCCACTTTCCACAAAGTCTGCCTGGCTGGTCGTTGCTTGTTGTTGGGGGCCATGTGGTGTCCTGTGCAGAACCACCACACAGCAGAGCCGCCCGCCTCTGGCCTCGTCATGCTGCTTCATGCACCACGGTACGGATCCGTATCAAGCGCGGAATGGGGCTTATAATTTATACCAATATGTGCCAGGAGATGGCAGTTATTTGGCAAGAAAAAAATCATCAAGGTACATGGGAGCAAGCAGACGCCATGGCATCATGCGCAAGTATCACTCAACCTACCTTGCCGTGCACCTCTTTTTCTTTCTTGTTTGTTCCCGAGAAAATAAAACAACCCTTTCTCCATTCTCCAGTTTCGCCCCGTGGCTTGATCTCTGCATGCATGCACGGATCCATCCTGCCTGCGACGACTGGTACGGCCTGGCCTCTGCCTCATCCGCGAAGCCTATCACGCAACTGTACAGCCAAGTTCCTAACCCACGCGCGGGGACCGTCGGCGGGTTTCTTCATCCCCCCCCCCCCCAAATCTGTCTGTGTGGCCATGTGCCGCAAGCCTGCAACAGGAAAAACAATGGTCCACCGTGCCAGTAGAAGCAATAAGTTAGCTTCACACACACACCATAACTAGACAATGGAATGCAAGTCCTGCGACGTCTTGGCGGCCTGCTGCCCACGAAAAAGCACACACACGACGAGTTAATAACTACCTAGTAATTTGTACATTCTCACACACGCACTCACGCCCATGTGTCCTACCCGCTAGTATGTACCAGTTTGTCTGGCGCGCCCTAGAGCCTACTGGTAGATAATAGAGGACCATGGGCAACCCTTACCTCAGCACCTCACACTGTCTCTGAAAATCCTCGCACACCATCGAAGAGGCGTTGCATCTATTTGTTCGGATTCTGCTGCTTGTGGTGGCGGGAGACTCGCCCTAGACCCAATCATCCGCCATCAGCCCCAAGCCACCGACGACCTTGTTCCATGTCTGCCCATGGTGGCGATGATGGGCCAGGTTGCAAGTTTTTTGGTAGGCAGCACATTTTTTTCTTCCCTCGTCGTCTCAGTTGGTATAGTCGACCCCGTGTGCGCCTCGTTTTCTCAAACCTGCAGGGGACATCTGTACCGATCCTACGCCAGGCAAAAAAAAAAGATATTCCCTGCTTCCTTGTCGCCACAGTGTACGACGTGATCTCGGGGAACAAAGTTGATCAACACAGCCCGCCAAGACGCTGCCGAAAAGCTGGTGATGGTGTGTTGCACCCAGACGCTCGGCCAAGCAGCCAGAACTTCAGCTGCGCACTTGACGTCGCCCGCTGGAGAAAGACGGTTCGATGCATGAATCTTGCTGCCCATCCATGGACTTGCCCACGGTTTCGTCAACTGCTCCGCACCTCTAGCTCGTTGGACAGCCCAGATAGATCGACAGGCAAGGCCAAGATGACTGCTGCATCAAGGGTTCGCCTGCTCGGCTCTCGAGGGACGGGTCTCGCTACTAGTTACTCGAACGCAAATGCCCATTCTGCTGTTTCACTCTAGGAATGCAAAAATTTCCTTTGCGCTCCGCGGACCGTTGCATCCAACTTAATCACGGTCCGCACTAATCCATCCAACGCCTGCTAGTTGCACTTGCACGTTGGATAGTCTGGCTGATTGACTCGGGTTGTTGTTCCCTTCCCGTGTTGTGCCATGATTAGAAGCTTTGCGTTGGAATGCAGCTGTCGCAGCTCTTCTTATCATGACGATCAGCCAAAACGTGCAGAACGACGTGTACCAAGGCGAAGCTCTTCTTATCATGGCAACCAGCCAGACGTGCAGAAGGATGTGTAATGAGGCGCGAATGCAGCATGATGCCATGTGCTGGATCCATGGCAACCCAAAAAAGTGCCAGAGATGCACTTGCCTCTACGAGGTCATGTCCGTCTCCAAGCCGAGATGCAGTGCAACGCTGGGCCATCTCTATCACTAGTTAGTTACGGAGAACTCTGGATGCGTCTCTGGTGTGTCTATCAATTTATGTCTGACACGACGCCATTGGACAGGGCGCCTTCTGCATGGCCAGCCATGTTCATCCTGACGACGCAAGCCACGACTAAAAAGGGAATAGAGGCTGGTTTGATGAACGCCCCCCTTCGGCACTCATCAGAGCCCCGGATTTCGTCCTAAGCGCCTCCTTCGGCCAGCCGCACCCTTGCCCTGCCACCTTTTGTCTTGGAACCAAAACCACAGTGTCTCTAGCTCACGTTGTTGACCGAGAAAGCCAAAAGGAAAAAGTCACAAAGATGGGAGGGGGGGGGCTACGCGGAATTCATACCATGCATGTTTCGTGCCAAAAAAGCCCCAAACACCGTCGGACAAGTACCGCGCGCAAACTGCACGTCCAAACCCCCCCCCCCGTTGTACATACAGTAACGCCCGTACCAACATGGACCAAATATTCCCCCCCCAAATAACAATGCAGGAGCCTCAAGGGTTGTCGGGGCGCGCTGCAATTGCGTCTGCCGCTGTTGTTGACCTGTAATATTCTGCCCCCTCGGGAAAGAAAAGATATGCCATGCGAATCGACTCGCCAGCGGGGGGGACTAGTGATGCAATGCCAGCCTCCCCCAGTGGGAGAAGCGACGATCAGTGCCGAACTCGCAGCTTTATCCGTACCAGAATCCTCGTGCCACCACTTTTTTGTGCCTTTCTCCGCACCCTGAGAACTGGATATTTTGCTGCATCTCTGCAGACTGGTGCCCCCCCTCCCCACCCCTTCTCCGCGCAGTTTGTTATTTATTTCGAGACAGCCAGTTGCGATGCTCAGTTGAACAGGGTAGGGCAGGGTAAAAAATGGGGGGAGGGAGCTTGATGAGCGGCGTAGAGGCCCTCTTTCGCTTGGGGTATTTCATCATCCAGTTTCCCCCCCAATTTTTCCCAGGGCTCCGTTTGGATTGCGACGCTGTATGGGCGAATCGCCGACTGTTCTTTGCCCGGCCGGGGTCTTGTCCGCATTTCAAAGGACGATGGGAAATCGAAAACCCACAATGTTGTTTTCTTTCTGCTTGCTCGCAACTTCGCTGCTCGGCTAACGGACCCCACTGAGCTGATTGCTTTTAAAAAGCTTCTCGTTCACTGTCGGGGGCGGGGCAAAGTAGATTTGCTGGGTGTGCGTGCGGGGAAATGGCTGCCGTGGATTTTCGCTTGAGAAGGACCAATTTACGACGGGGGGGGACGAGCGAGCTTCATGACGAGGAGAGGCCCCCCAACAAGACCCCCAAGACTTGACAGAAATGTACACGATGCCAGCGGCAGCGGCGGATGCGACGGGAGCCCCCAATCTAGCAAGCGGCACAGGGCAAGACAGAAAAAGAGTCCCCTGATTTTTTTCTTTTTCTTTTT